TATTTTAAGGAAAGATCTTCAGGATGTTCAGGGTCTTACTACTAGATCAGACTCGTAGTGATTCTCCTGTTTTCAGCCTCCCAAGTGCTGGGAGTACAGACAGACTCCTCCACGCCCAGTCTTTGTTCTGTGATGTAACTTGGTCTCAAAACACATTTCATCAGTTTCATGAGTAGGCTGTGAAATCTGAGGGAGAATGTGCTGTGCAGGCATTGTACGATACTGCCTTCCCAAAATTGTACTGTGAAGAGTTGGGATATAATCTAGAATGTATTGTGACTTCCCGTGTTAGCAGTGAGGAGAAAAGAAATCTCATTGTTAAATATTCTCTATTTTGGTTTTGTAATGTTTACTTTGTGTGTGTGTGTGTGTGTGTGTCTGAATGCACACATTTGCACATGCATGTGCATGTGTGTTTAGCAAATGTTTCAGTCAGAAATGTATATATAGTAGGGTTCAAAGGAGAACTAATTAACTGGACCAAAACAGCAGTAGCAGTAATTTAGCCATCAAGATATGCATGACTCCTACAGCCTGCTCATACAGAATAATTTGATAGATTAATTTTTATTTCAGTAGTTTCTGTTTCACTGTCTAAAGCAAACACTCATTCTTTGCTGGGCATGGTGTGCACACCTGAAATCTCAGCACTGGGGATACTGGGAAAGGAGGACTGCTGTGACTTTGAGGACAGGCTGTGAGTTTCAGAGCAGCCTGAACTATACAGCAAGACCCTGTTTCAAAATACTAACCAACCAACCAACAAAATAAAGCAGACAGTTGTTCTTTTGAGAGAGACTCAAACACTAAATCTCATTAATAACATTTTCTAAACACAGTATTTGAGTAGGTTTGCTCTTCAGGGTGGCTAATCTCAATCTTTATTATGTTGTTTCTCACTAGTTTCAATTTTTAAATCTAGTTTTACTTAATTTTATTCTTTGATTTTAGAGTTTCACTTTTTTTTTTTTTTTTTTGGAGACGGGGTCTCCCTAGGCAGTTCAGGCTGGCCCTGTGGTCACTTTTGAAGTCCCTATGCTGGTCTCGAACTCTTAGTGATTTTCCTGTCTTATCTTTCTAAGTTCTGGGATTACAGGTGTGCGCCGGCCAGCACACCATATGGGTCAGGGATGGATTTCTGGACCTTGTACTTGCCAGGTAGGTGCTTATGCCTCTGAGCTATCTTCCCCTCTTCTTTTTTTTTTAAAGCTGTTCAGTTTTTATTGAACATGTTACAAAATGAGGTTTAATTGAAAAGACCAAAACCCATGTTGTCCTCACATTCCTCTGATTCTTCTTTCCTTGCTTCCACCTTCTCCTCCTCAGCTGGGGCAGCAGTGGAGTAGGGCACAGGGCCACCTGCAGGTGCAGTGTCCGCTGCAGGGAGACCTCCAGCCCCTACATTGCAGATGAGGCTCCGGATGTTGATGTTAGCCAGGGCCTTTGCAAACAAGCTGGGCCAAAAAGGTTCGACCAGTGGGGGCATTGATCTTATCCTCCGTCATGGTCACCTCACCTCGCAGGATAAGGGCAGAGTAGATACAGATGAGCTCAGAGAGGAGGCCATGACAGGCCATGAGGCGAGCTGCTGAGCACAGTGCTAGTCACTGGAAGAAGTGAGGGCCTCACCCCTTAGCTTCCTCGGTAGGACTGAGCACCTTGATGGCAGCTGGGGAAAAGAACCCTACCTTTCTTTCTTCTGCTTCTGCTTCTGCTTCTGCTTCTGCTGCTGCTGCTGCTGCTGCTGCTGCTGCTTCATTGTTGTCGTCTTTTTCTTCTTCTTTTTTTATATTTTAGGGAAGGGTCTACAGGGTGTTCAGGGCCTTACTACTAGATCAGACTTGTAGTGATCCACCTGTTTACAGCCTCCCAAGAGCTGGGATTACAGGTGCAGTCCACCACACCTGGTCTCACTTGCTAACTCAGCACACACCCCAGGTGCCCTGCTTGGCAGTCCTGGGGATTGAACCGCCCGGCCCCTGGGCCTTCTTGCAAGCGCTTTAAGCTGCTGAACTATTTGGCCTATCTCTTTGTTATAATTTTGTCAGTTTTTCTTAGTGTAGTATATTTTAGTGTAACACACACACACACCTCATCACACTTCCAGTTCTAGGGATTGAAACCAGGACCTTCACACAGAGCAGTAGTCCCAGCCTTTTGATTTTTTTTTTTTTTTCCTAGTTTCTTTTTTTGTTTGTTTTTGAGACATGGCATCTGTGTAGTTGAGGCTTACTTTAAACTGGCTGTGTAGCTGAGGGTAGCTTCAAACTCATGGTGACCCTCTTACCTCAGCTGTGTAAGTGCTGAGAATGCAGACGTGGACCACCACAGTGAGCTATTTATTTTGAAAGAAGCCCACACTCAATTGTGTAGGCTGGGCTGAACTTGGGATGTTGCTGCCGGGATAATAGGCATGTACTGCTAAGCCTTGACACTGTTGTAGGGACTAGAGATCAATGGAAGTGACATCAGGGCTCTATATTTTAGGTCTCTCTCCTGTTAACTAGGGATTACACTTAAGTGTGACTGCTAGTTATTAGATTACTTTATAAATTCATTTCTAGAATAATTTCTAGGGCCGGGGAGATGGCTCAGTGGAATAAGTGCTTCCTTGGCAACTTGGCAAGCGCAGAGGCCTGAGTTCAATCTCCGGTTCTGCAAAAAAAAAAAAAAAAAAAAAAAAAAGTATACAAAGTAGAATAATTTCTGTTGCTGTAATCTCCTATATTTTCCTCCTTCTAAAAGTATTCCTGTAAGTAGGTCTCTACTGTCTGGGTCAGTTTCTCCTGTCATTTTACCTTTCCTTTCTTCCCTCCTTTCCTTTTCTTTCCTTTCTCTCTGTCTCTCTCTTTCTACAGTAATGGGGATTGAACTCAGGACTCTGTGCTCTCCAGGCAAGCACTTATTCTACTGAGCTACCTCCCCGGCCCCTTCTGTTTTCTTTATTATTACATTTTATTCTAATCTCAGTGACTAGTAATAGGAAATGTTCGGAGAAAGTAATAGTTTTGAAATGTGGAAAGCTTATTTGTATCTGATAAATCTTATAGTAGCTAGTCTCAAATTATTGCTATATTTGTTATAAAACAATTACTTGTATCTGATAATTCTTGCAGTAGCTGGTCTCAAACTATTGCTATATTTGTTATAAAATAATTACTTGATAATTCAGTAAATTTTGGAGTATCCTTGGATTTCTTATTCTTGTTTCATCACAGAAGTTTTATTAAGGTCTGGATGTTGGAGGCTCTGTTTTCTTATGTATTGCAGATTTATTTTGAGGCTTTGTTTTAATGTAGTTAAAATTTGAGGGAATTCCTCAGTTTCACTCTTAAAATTGGTAATCTGAGTGCTCCCCACTTCAGTTGCCCTCCCGGTATGGTTTTGGATTGATTTAAAAAAA